TACTATACCAAAAAAGTTGTTCTTAAGGGCTCATTCATACACCATTCCCACTAGGGTAGCTCACACTTCATGCACACGCAATTTCACTTCTTAAGGACAACGTTTAATTTACATCTACTATACCGAAAAAGTTGTTCTTAAGGGCTCATTCATACACCATTCCCACTAGGGTAGCTCACACTTCATGCACACGCATATATAGTTTTTAATAACAACATTTAATTTACATCTACTATACCAAAAAAGTTGAGACAGACAGCTCGAAATTTCATACATACTTTGTTCCAGAATACTATAAATATATTTTTAATTATAAAAAGGTTAAGAACAGAATTTATAAACACAGCCGGAGCTATTTTATAATTTAAATGCATCGATCAATACTAGACTGCAACAAGTTGTCGACCGAAACGATTATGGGGCGACTAGTAAGTCAAAGCTCTTAGAAACGGTTCTTTTCAGAACCACACATTTATTTAACAAGAATATCTTTTGCGTTTATCAGAATTACATTTAACGGCTTTTTTCAGAGCCTCAAAAAATATTTTACAGAGTCACATTAAAGTATAGTTCTTGTCATAACTATAAGTGTATATTTTACAGAAGAACAGTTGTGAGGGCAAACCTATAAAATAAAAGTTCGCGTAACTGCTTCAAAATTTATATAAAATAATGTTTTTGTCATCCTTCTTACCTTTTCATACACACACACACACATTATTTGTTATTCTCATTATTTTGTTAAATTTTTAAATACATATACAACTATATATGTATATATATTTATATATAAACATAAATATTATAATATTGCCTTACTATTTTTTATTTTTGATGTTTTAAAGACATTTTAACGGTAAGTATACAAATCTATTATAGTATGTTATTGTTTATTCTTTCTCTCAATTTTTTAATAATTGAATTACTATGACAGGTATCTGTTGTCATAGGTTTTTATTTTCTTAATTAAATAGAGTTTACTTTTTTACACATACCGTAAGTAAGTTTCTTATATCACGGAAAAGCTAATAATTAAATAAATAAATATGATATAAATTATTAAAGCCACTTTCAATGCAGGTACTCTTTTCAATGTTTGCGATAATTTTATGGTAACATATGGCTGTCGGTATTATTGGTAACCGCGTCGGTATGTGTCATCGGTAACCGTGCCGGTACATATGGATTAAATCTCGGGTCGGTGGCGCGTGCTAGTAGGTGGCAGCCTGAGGAGAAGTACTTCTCCTTACGGCGCACAATATGGTGCTCCGCACTGTACTATACAAAAAAAGGTGATCCTAAGGGCTCACTCATACACCATTCACACTAGCGTCACTCACACATCATGCACACGCAATTATACTTCCTTAAACTGTAGAACGTACGTACCGACAAGTCGTTCGTGAACATGGCTACGTAGTTAGTAATGTGCACCATTCATGGACATTTGCGCTGGCTTACAGGGCGGAACAGCGATTTCACACATTGGCCCTGTTCGGTTATTACTGGTAGTACTGAAAGGCTGCGTTCGAGCAGCACGCGCTATCAGCGCTATTGCGTCATTCTATCTGTGTTTTACATTTAATGAGCATGAAAGATAGAATAATGCAACAGCGCTGATAACGTGCTTCCCGAACGCAGCCGAAATCTATAGATTCACGTCACGTATTCGAAAAACCATGCGTTCCGACTGGGCAGACTGGAAACGTGAATGTTCAGACGAGCCAATCAGAATCTCCCACACTGACTCGACAACAACGCACTCTGCCAACTAACTATTTCGCAACCTTGAAACATTCCGTGTGAAACATATTTGTCACAAGGTCGATCACCTTCTTTTCTAGCCTCCTTGATTCAAGCATTCCAAAACATTTACTCGTAGACATTTGCTGATTGCGCGAGGTGCACGGACGGAGTGTGACGATAAGTGTCGAAATTATAGACGTGACTCCTCCACTGTGATGTTCACCAAACGGACGCGCGAATAAAACCGATCCGTGTACACGAACGAATGAACAAAAAAAAAGTAGGCGTACCAAGAAGATCACGTTTGACAATAGGTGAATGCCTACGCCAATCGTAGAGCCGACAAAACGTCATGCGAGGAACGCGCGGCGCGAGCACGTGAAGCGGCGCGAATGATGGAACCGGACCACAGCGGACACCACGGCAAAGGTGGCAGACGCTCGCGATATATCGGGGATCCTTCCTGACGTGGGCGGCGGAGCGACGGTTGCAAGCATGCACCAGAACAGACGGAAGAAGAAGCGGGTGAACTACGGCGTAAGGGCGGTCGAGGTGATACGGGGCGCAAAAGGCTACGGGTTCACAATATCCGGCCAACAGCCATGCATATTGAGCTGCATCGTGCAGGGCAGCCCGGCGGAGAGCGCGGGTCTGCGACCCGGCGACTATCTTGTGGCCGTAAACGGGCACAATGTGAGCAAAGTGCCGCACGACGACGTGGTGCAGCTGATCGGCTGCTCTAAGGGGGTGCTGCGGCTGCAGATAGCCGAGAATTATTACTCGGATTCCTCGGACGAGGAAGGTTTGGCCACCGTAAGATCCAAACCCAAGTACGCCCACAAACCGCGTGCCACTAACGCCAGTGCTTTGCAGTTGCAATGTAGAGCGGCGAAGGTGGTTAGGGATCTGCAGAGCGGAGCTATGTTTCACGCAGCGACGGCAAACGCGGCGGCGACGACTGAGAACAAAGAACAGTACGATTATTCCGGTCTGCACTATCGTTGGAACATAACAAGCCCCCTCCCGCCACCGCCACCACCGGTGTCACATAAGCGTGACTCAGAAAAGATTGTTCACAGAACGGTGGTCGGTTATCTCGGCACTATTGACATTCCCAATCAGCTGCATCCATCCAGTATGATGCAGGTATGTTTTTCGAATGATAAAATATCGTGAGTTAAGTGTCTCAATAGAACAACTTAGTTGTATGAAAATAAATATAAGAATGTAACTCTTGTGTTATTTATTGTTGCAGGTTTTGAGAAAATGCATTAAGAGATTGAAGGCGGAGAAGCGAAATCCGACCACCGTGCTTCTCACCATCTACGTAGCCAACATCAAACTCACCAATTCGGAAAATCGCATTATCGCCGAGTATCCATCGTATCGGATAATATTTTGCAATTCCTTTTCGGAGCAAGACAAGCAGTACTTCGGAATACTTACCAAGTCCATGAAGAACACGGACGACATTGTCTCGAACTCGTGTCACGTTTTTTGTATTTATTATAAGTTAATCGATCACGAGGTGCATTCTAGCGCGTGCAACGTGTTCGGATTCACGTGTACGAAGTCGTCGGAGTCGAACGTTTGTCAGGAATTTCCCGACAGTTGTACGAGCCTCATTGGTGCCATACAGACACTGTATATATCCGATTGCACAAACGGGGAGGCAAATCCTTACAACGAAGCGCGTTTGCGCTTGGACACCGCCTCGCCGCAGCCGAGCAACGTTAGCACGTCGACCGCTCATTCGAGCAACAGTGATTCTGGAATAGGTTTTAAGGACGACTACGGCAGCTGTTCGGGCAAAAACACGGTAAACGATTACGGACGAAGAAGACAATGCCCTACAAATGTGCAATATAGGGTACACTTTCTAAAAATTATTTTTAATTACAAATTCCATTTCATATATAAATTCTATTAACGTATAAAAAATTGAATTTAATAAATATTTTAAAAACTATCAAAAAAGTTGAATTAACAATTTTTATTATTATACAATTTTTATTTTTACTTCTCTTTATTTGGCACGTTTGCGCGAAATGAAATAATTTATAAAATTGTCGAGAGAAATATATGATTTAAATAGAAATGTTTAAAAATTTTAAGTAGTCTCTGCAAATAATTATTCAGTTGCTCCGATTGCAATGTGATATATTTCGCCGTTCTACTCTGATTCTTAGATGTATCGTTTGCAGAATATGAACGCGCGCTCGTGCAGAGAAGCCGTCAATGAGGCTGTTGGACATCGGCTGGCGGTTCGCGCGACGTCCGAAGCTGGAAGATGGAACAAGGAATTGAAGTTCGAACCTTCTAAAGGTAAAAACACAACGCGATACTACTACAAAGCATGATAAGCGACGATGTGACACATCGCGTTGCAGTGCGTATCTCGCGTGTAGCTTTTGGACCGTCGAAACAAGCGCAGTGGTTCAAGCAGTGGTGGGGATGTACGAAATATGCTTTTCACAGTGATGCGACACGTGACGACGGGGAGCGGGGAGATCAACTCGACTACCACCTGCGCCGGAACATCTGCCCCTGTTATGGCGGTGCGCAACGCGTTGGGCAGTGCGTCCGTTGGATCCCTCGCGTCCGTTTGCACCACCGCGTTGCTCGACGGTATCGAGGACGCCGCGGAATTGTCGAAGACGTCGTCGACGGAAAAATTGAAGCGACTGATGGACACCACGAACAAGCTCAGCCCGAAAGTGTACTGCGGTCAGGTGACGAAGTCGCTGGTGCACAGCCTGGAAGATATCAATTCAAGTATGGAGTACGCGCGGCCACCCTTCTGTCACTCTTACTCGAGCAAGTCCGATAGTAACCCTCGCCCATGGGGAAGCCTCCAGGAGATACGAAACATCAGCAGCAGCGTGTCGGACAACTGCATAGTGAGATCTCTTTTATTGTTTATTTATTTTCAATTCAAAAGAACGTTTGTTTCTTTGTGTTATTAACGCGCGTCAGAGATTTTATTTCGGTAAATTTTTGAAGGATTTTGATTTTTTTATTCAATTTCTTATGTGTGTGCAATTTATATTTTTGCTAGTATCTTCGTGTCGCGATATTTTTATTTATTTGTTTGCTTCTTAGTTAACACAAATGTTATTGTGTACATTTAACTAATTGCAAATTACCAATCCAAAATCGCGTGCTAATAATATTGTTTCGCTTGAAACGTTTGTCGTCGCGATTTCCGGTTTCTCTCCTGTGCCTATTATATTCAAGCCGCGTCATCGTTTCCTGTTTGTGATTTGTGCTTGTATATACGGTGGCAAGGGTCAAGCGAAAACGAAATAACCCCAGAAACCAGATCGGTGAGTTTGCGTGTGAAACACGCGTTTTACTTGCGACACACGTTCTCGCGCATAAGTTTACTTTATTTGGCGTACATTTATAAGCCCGCATTTATAAAGCCGGTTTTGCCGATTCTAAGAGCGCGATTACAACAAACTCGCGGTGCAACAGACTCTGTCATCAAATCAGATTCGCGTGCTGCACAGGATGCCTTGGTGGTCGCACGTTTCCTCTCGTCTTCGAATTCTCTGACGAATTCGAAAGTAATATCTTTACGCAGAAATTAATCAAAATTTATTGTAAATTTGCTCACATGTTTATCCATAAACTTGAGTTGTTCCCGACTTCAAGTGAAATTGAATTTCAGAAGGACAATAACAAAATTCAAAATTATAAGCTTACGATTGCGCATGTGTAATATCGCATTCGATGCAATCTCAAAAGATAAAGTTTTTGTATAAAATATTTTGTATAAATAAAGGTCAAAAATGACATATGTTTAAATTCACACATTTGTAATTGATAAATGACGACAAGATTTTTTATGTCATTTGTATTATATAGTTTAGCAAAGATATAAATTCGTCAAACTTTCGCTTATAAATTGGACAGAGTTGAAAGTGATTTCTAATGACGGGGTATGTTGTTGCAGCCATCGCGGTGTGTCTAAATTAATAATGTTAAAAAGAACGTTCTCTCGCGAACTGCGAGGTTGATGCACCGCGGGCACGTTTAGGTGCGTGAATAGATCTTACGATGATAGATAGGATGCAGGATCGGAGAATGTTAACGCGTCGCTCAACCGCGACCACAATCATCGTGGACAGCTTTCCGAGCAGCGGATATCTTTATTAAACACTCGATCTTATCGGGTTTCTTTTATCATTCTTGCGCGATGGTAAGATATCGCCAACATATCGCCGCTTCGGTTTGTATTCGATAATTTGTCCGATTGTCTTGTCTGCTTGCGTCCACAGAACTTCGCGTGCGCGCGCGGCCCTGCGTAGATGTTAAAACGAGGTTGAGTGGAAGAGCTCGTCGGGGAAGACAGAGAGAGAGAAAGGCCGTGACGCGGGCCCCATAGTAGTAGTGGTGGCGGTCGGAGCGGAAGAGGCGCGGGGAGCAAGCCGGGGATCGACGATGAGAATGAATCAGTCGAGAGTAGCAACGACGAGGGAATAGAGGACGTCGGGGGCGACGGGGGAGGGTTTGGGAAGTGGGCCTTGTTGGGAGCGTAAAGTGGCCTAGCCTCGGCATCGTAAAACACGCTGGGGCGAAACGCGCGACGGTAAACGTGAGGCGCATCGTGCGTTTGCAATGATGATGTCGCCCGTGATTACATCGTTCGGTATACTCGTCGTGGTCAGTTCGTAATACTTCTGTGCAATACGCGTCGCGTCACCTCGTCGTCGTCGTCGTCTGTCAAAGGCAACGCATTTTGCCTGAGCGGTTCGCAGTTCGCAAAACCGTCAGATCAGCAATGTTCCGCGCTGGGCGGAGCCTTACTCGTTGTTACACACAAGGCGAATTGCCCGTTTAGTTTAGCACCGTCGCGTTATTCTCGATTCTCCTCGCGCGTTACGTTCTTTCTCACCTATCTATTTCGCGGCGGGAAGTATGCGACCGCTTGGGCCCCGCGTGCGTGCAAGTGCGTCGAAAGACTCATAAATGACACCGCCGTCGCCGCTGTGAGAACGTGTGCGGTGCTCGCGAGCGTGACATGGAAGCGTTGGTGAAATCGGTACGTATATAGAGGTAAAAAGAAACGTCGAACGGTATTTATATTCGGGTTTTACTTTGCCACGGGATTGCTACGGGATGTGATGGGCTATCTCGCTGTGTCAACTTCTTTGCGTGACGCATCGTTCAAGTGAATTTTGGAGCTTATCGTGCGGAAAAGTGTCATATGTTGCCAGAGTTTGTAATTTATCAACGTTACTTAAATAGCTTCAATTGGGACAATGAATGGAAGAAGGTTGCTCAATGTGAGAACATTCTTTTTCTATGATTAAGAAAATAATCAATTTGGTTTTTCTTTTTTACAAATAGATTTGTGCGCCGGAGAAAAAAATTGATACAAAGATGTAAATCAATCGTCGTACTGTATCTTGATGAATGATTCATAAAAGAAACTATCGATCGTCTTCAGAGAGCGATATTTGCGCTGGTCTAATTAAATCCGAGCGTTTGTTGCCTTATTCAGTACAGACACGACGAAGCTTTTTCAGCGATGAACGCGCTGACGCAAGGCATTTCCTTAATTATTGGTAATCACGAGCTTTGGGCTTATGACCTCATGATGCGACAACTCATATTATTTGTCTTTGTCGTTCAAGCCTTCGTTCTTCGAATTATACACCGGCGTTTTTTCTTCTTTGTCTTGATCTCAACACATTTTTCTTTGTGTGTTTTAATGTTTTATATTATTTTGTAAACACATCTCTTGTTGATGTGACGTTTTAATTGCACTTCTAATTGTATAATGTGTATTCAATTGAAAAAAAAATCGTGGGAAGCTAAAACTGCGCGTTAATAATGGAAGATGTGGGAAAAGGGAATGGGAAAACGGAGGTGAGGTGAGCGATCCAAGAAAGTGTTTTCTCATAGCGTTACACCTGTTGTTCGTTTGCGGCAGGTGCTGAACTGCGAAGGTTTTGAGAAGTGCTCACGAGCAAATATTGAGATGGTTCTTCTGAACCCAATGTTATTGACAAATCGTCACTCCCTACGTATAATCCCGTAACTCCAAAACGCAAATTTTAGAGGAGAGCAGTTTAAAAGTNATCTTTCGGTTTCAAATTTGTACCTTATTTATGAATATTTTTTTTTAATATTTGGTGACCATAAAGAACATGACTTTCTAAGTGTCATTATGCAATAAACTGAAAATCCCATATGTGACACTTATGTAATTATACGTAGGGAGTGACGAAATGTTGAACGATTGGATTGATTGTCGATACATAACAATGCATAACAATTTATAACAAAATTTATAACAAAAAATACAAAGTTTTTATTTATTTTTAATTTTTCTTTTTTATATTTTTTCGTTTTTTATTTATTATATTTATTATTTTGTACTTAAAAGTATAACAGTATCTTATACGTGTCTGTAAAAATTACTTCCAATAACATATATATATATATTTATTTATTTATTTATCTATATAACAATAGAATTTATAATATTGTGACATATATACATATTTATTGCAGTATGGTAGTACAGAATCGTGTGACAAAAACAATGATTGCAAAGGAGTACATACATGGGCAAACGGATTTGAAAAGCTTTTGGAGGATCCAAAGGGCTTGCAAACATTTGCCGTAAGTAAACTATTTCTCTTTAGATTTCTATACGCGCGTGTGTATTAAATATTCATAAAATTATTACAATTATAATTATTATTGCATTAAAATTCTAAATACAATTGTGTGTGACCTTGTTTCAGGAGTTTCTCAAAAAGGAGTTTAGTCATGAAAATATATATTTTTGGGCTGCTTGTGAGAGATACAAAGATACTAAAGACTCTACTACGCGCCGTCGATTAGCATGTCAGATATATCAACGTCATTTGTCGAATACAGCCGCCGAGCCGGTCAACGTTGACAGTCATGCGTCGGGACAAATTACCCAAGAACTGCTCGACGAAGCACCAGCGGATCTATTTCTGCAGGTACACACGCATCGTGAATTCTATTGTTGAACAAACGTAATCGAAACAAACAGTAATACTTTAATCAGCATCTCGTTGTCTTAGGCACAGAAACAAGTATTCAACCTAATGAAGTTCGATAGTTATCCAAGATTTTTGCGCTCGGAACTCTATCGCTCTTGCCTGGAGACTGGGAGCGCCGTAGTCAATACGGAAGACTGTGATTTACAAGTAACAAGTTCGCCTAGCGTAAAATTGAAGAAGAGTCATTCCGACGCGGAAGATCGTTGCCGCAAATCGATTCTTCCCTGGAACAGAAAAAACAGGTGAGTTTACTTGTGAGAATTTTTATTGAAACAAAGAAAAACTCTGCTCTTGATTTATATCGACGCGAAATGTATTTACGTCAACTCGCTGCACATTTTTCAGATCGAAATCAAAAGATCGCGGTGAGTCCGAGTACAACAAAGCTCCTAGCCGAAATGAGACTATATATAAAAGTTTTACAGCTATCAAGAGAGAAACAGAGGGTAACAATAACGAAGACAGTGTGTCCATATCCAGCAGTCGGTCGTCACTGGCTTCGTGGGATCTGGCGTTACGACAGTCGTTCAACAAACATGTGAGTATTTACTGAACAAAATGTGTTACAAAATACATTTAGCTATTAATATGAAGAATTTACGTATAATTTGTATCTTTGATAAAATTTCTTCAGTTTGACGTTTTGAGACATAAATACGTGTGCTTTCGTGTGTAAGTTTTTGTTATAATTTGTAGAAAACCTGCATTTGGTGCGACTTACATACTTTTTGTAACGTAGTTATTGTTTTTTTATAGTAAACATTTGTTTTTGTAGCAGTAAGGTGAAAGAGAAAGCTCCGCGCTGCCGTAGAATAAATCAAATGTGTATGCTTTAATTTTTTTCTGAGCGAATTGTGTTCACTTGTAGTCCGTATCGTCTTGCGACGGGCAAATGAACGAAAAGAAAGAGACCCGGAAATGCACGGGATTGTGTCGAGTGATATTGCCCGATGGGTCCACCACAGTAGTGACGACTAGCCAGACCGACAGCATTAAAGACGTGGTTACCCGACTCCTCGACAAGCGAGCCCTACGCTATTCTAACTATGACGTTCTGATATTAGCAACGGATGAGGTTTGTGCTGGCCTTGTATTTAACCGACATTACGAAGCTTCGAGCGCGAATTAAAGCATAATTAGTAGTAATTTTGTAATTTTCCCTGCTTGCGCAGAACAAGCGTTGAATGCGTAACGCATGTGCATATCTCTAGTTTTTATGTTGAATTCGTTATTGTATAATTCGGTGATGGAAAGAGATTGTTGTGTTTTATATGTCTGTACGTAGAAAGAGATTTCAACGGTATTACAATGAGATTCTTTAGTGAGATTGTATTCTTTCTCGTTTATGCGCAGATGGTAGACACGAAATGCCCTTCGTCAGTATTAGCAGGCCAGGAAGTGGAGGTCGTTCCCACGAAAGTTCTTAAAGTGGAATTACCCTCGCGCAGAACGATAAGCGTTATCGCGCACAAGGGTAAAACCCTGAAGGAAGTCTTGAGGCCTCTCCTGAACAAATATAGTTTTAATTTAGACTTAATCAGTATTTGGTGCGAAGGTCACTGTGTTCCCTTAAACATTATGGCCATCAATGCACCCGCCCGTCTCAGCGTAGTGACGAATGAAGAAAGTTAGTTGATGATAAGTTGCAATTAGACAATGTATGCAATGACAAGTTTTATTATTAATTATTGTTATTCTTGTAGATTTTCAACGAGAATTGCACACAGCCAAGTATCTGGACGAAGTGCACGTACAGCCAACTTTGGATGAAATTACTAACAAAGTATTTGAAGAGCTCTTAGATGGGAAAAGTAGGAATAAATATCAGTATAGCGAAGGGTCGTGTAAAGTGAGTGGATAATGATATTTCTAAACGCGTAATATTTTCTCCCGCATATCAAATTTGTGTTTTCTATTCTCATTTGTCATACAGTCTGATGATCAACGTTCTGAAGGGTCTTCCATATTGTCTAGTAAGTTTTTTCTGCGAGATTCGACGATTCACGGAAAGAAGAAGGTAATGTAAATTTTGTATTGTGTGTGACTTTCCAAAATAAAAAACTTGTTTATGAGCATATTCAACTTACTTGTAAGTCTTGACGACTGATTCACAGGTAAAATCCAAATGCTGCAATACAAGTGAGAAAGGTAATTCGAACGATTGTATACACGAGGGAGCGCCTGTGAAATCCCAACCGCCGCTTATCGCGAAGTGGCGAAATGGCGTAAAGCTGCAGCTTCCGAGCAGATTCGACGGAGATGGTAAGAGTGATATATAAAATTCTTTAAGTACAAAGATTGCAAACAAGTAATAAAGTTGATTAAAATAACACAATTTATTTTTGAATCATATAACTTTTTGTTAACAGATTTATACGAGGGATTGAAGAGGGCACAGAGATCGAGACTGGAAGATCAGAGAGGAACGGAGATCAATTTCGAGTTACCAGATTTCTTAAAGGTAAAGTTAACACACGTATGTATTCGTATATATGTGTATATTTTGATGTGTTCAATTTGTTTAATATAATTTACACTGGAATTTAGTAGCGGTAGAGAACATGTGTGTGTGCAATAACGTACAAATCTATAATATCTCTATCATGTATGCGTTTCGACTCTTAAAGCTATGAAATTACTGATCAGAACAAGGAGAATGGGAAACCGTCGGATTCTAACAAACTGCGAAGGACACGTGTGGTATCGGCCAATTGCGAAGGCACCACGAAGTTTTACGATACTAGCGAGGATAAGCAAAGCTGTAGTGGCGGATACGAGTATCCCGCGCACGTGACGAACGGAGCTGTGAACGAGCGATTTTCAGCCCTGGTTAATATTACGGATCCTTTAAGTAAGTGCCTTGACAGCTCATACACTCTTGACGGCGACAGAACGCTAGTAGACGGTGATCAGACGATCATAGAAAACGGTAGCAATTCACAATCGAAGAGCCCGCATTCGTCGAGTTACGATGCGGACGCGTCCCGCGCGAAATTAGCGAAACCGCCGCCGCTACCGCCGAAACCGAAAAATCTTGTCATGAACGTAGTGAAAAGTGGATACATCATGACTCCTAAAACTCCTTTGCAAAGGCCCAATCATGTGATCGAGTAAAAAATTTTGAGAATCTTGTAAAGAGAAATTTATATTTTTAATTAACGTAACGTATTTTTATATGTGATGATTGCCCGATTAAATATATAAGACATTTATATATACGTAAAACCAGAGTACATAAAATTTTGTATTATATTTGAATTATTGAAGAATGTTGAAAGATATTTGTGTAAGGGGAAAAGGTTTACATATTTGAACGGAGAACGTACGACATATAACATACACTATTTTCGTTGCATTTTCATGTTTATATATAAGCATTGTCTGTGTCTATGTGTATTTACATTCCGCAATTTAGATCTTATCTCGAAAACGTTCTGTCCTGTCCGTGCCTTAATCCCGAAATGTTATCGTATGTAAATGTTAAAATATACATAACAAGTTCTAGAAATGTCTAAGAATAGTTTTGCCGTTATCTTTCATCGATATTAAAAGAAAAAATTGTGTCTGTTTAAATCTAATTTTGTTTCTGATTTCCATTAAACGTACTTTTTGTGATTTTGTATTTTCAGATAAACGATTTATTTTCTTTCTTATTAGAAATTAATTGCCGACGAAAAATAATTACATTTTTTTAACACACATAATTATGTATTATCGACAATACACAAATTGATATTTGAGAATGACGATGACATTTTTCTGGGATTAAATTTAGGTGATAGTAAAATACATGATATATATTTATATATTTTATATATTCAGAAGTTTCGCTGTCGAATAAATAATTTTGAAATGAGAAATGTCCAAGTGACGATTTAAGCGCTTATTAGGTGATTATTTAGGAACAAATGTTATAATAAAAGGAAAAGCTCTCAAGGGAGCGCAGTAGAATAGAGAAAGTAATTCCATTTTGACAGTATTTCACGTAATTGTTTCAATTAGATATATATTTTTCGAGAAAAAGAGAAACAATTACACACATTCTAGTACGGTAATTTTATAAACATGTCATATTGTGTATAACACAAAAATGTACGCGCATTTGCTTAATAATAACAAAGATTCCCTCGTCAGAAGGATTTATATGCAAAGCAAAAATTTATTACATATCATATCGGAGTACCTAATTGTTACACACATGCTACTATATTGTATTATTTGACCTGAATTATATAGAGACAAACTATATATATATATATAAATATTAATAATTTAATAAATTTTCTAAATTTGTTTTTAGAAAACCAATTCTTTCTGTAAATACTCCAACTTTCATGATCCCTTGGCTACAGAAGATAATCAAAAATTCCCAATCCTTTCATTGAACAAGTTCCGCTAATTTGTCTAAAAATTTCAATTGTTAAGTGGATCGTTGATTTCACATCACTATTTATTTTTAGCAGCGTTACAATGTAAGTATCAGAGATCCCTCTCATTAATTACCGTATATCAATAAATAAATACCGTAATAACGATTGCTTGCTTCATTAATTAATAATATCAGGTAATACGCACAAAATATTGCTTAATTATTATTTGATATTAACGTATTAATTGTTAGAAAATGCTGAACAAGGTGTAGAGAGTGCAAGTGTGACGAATAATATACATATATTACTCTTTTTTTCCCCCACTTCTCACTTTTACTATCTCTACATATAGCGCCTTCCTATATATCTCACCCGCCGCCGCAAACGCCGCGCGCGCCTTGATTTGCGCGGGTCCCGTCGTCAACGAAAGTGGGCGGCTTATCTCGCATTTAACTATCCGAATCTCAGAGTCAACGGTCGGTTCTCGTGTCTCGTGGTATCAGTCAGCACCACCGAGCTCCGGAGTCGTCGCGAAAAATCCCGCGGTGAGTCTCTCTCTCATTCGACGATCGGTTTTTCCGTTTCTCATTCTCAATAATCGTTGGTTATCTTGTTCCTCTTCTGTGAACCTGGTACGCGCGCCTGTTTGTCGCGGCGACGTTCAGACTTCACCCGATTTCGCGCGGGAAACGACTTTGTCGTGTTCGCGATATCTCCGGTGAAGGAAACGGCGAGTGATTGACGACGTCCTGTTGTGTTTCTCGCACAGCCGGTCTCGCCTAGGATTTTCTTCCCGGCCTTTAATTCTCCGCCGTGACAACCAACACGTATGTTTACACATCCTTTCTTAAGCGATACCTTCGTACAGACGGCGTATTGTGGCCGGGACGCTTTAAACAACCGATGTGATTGACGTGTCTCCACTTGAGCGTCCGTCTGAAGATACAATCGCGATTTATCAATTGTAGCATTTGAGACTCTTGCAGTCACGAAAATTTATACGAATGTCAAGGACGCGCAAGTAATTCTTTAAAGGAAATGTTTGAGCGGACTCTGAGATAAAGTTTCAATTCAATTAGAAACAAGATGAATAGTGACTGCGTGTAATTAATTTAACGGATAAAAAAGAATTTAAAAACGATTAAAATCACACTAAAAAATTATCGTCGGAAATATCGTTGAATTGTTGCGAAACAAATTTTCAAATTTTTGTTCTGCGACAAGAAAAAAGTCTCTTACGATCTTGCATTACGAATATTTTGATACACAATTAATATACACGGTGGCTTATAATTGACGGTCTTACTTTTTTACTTTCAATCGTTTATAATCGAGCACAATCTTTTCGGTGAGAGAAAATTAATCGCACAATTGTTAAATTTGAAGATGCAAATTGCAATGTGAACCCGAATTTTTACCTACAGGATGTTTTTTTTTTTTTTTTTTTTTTTTTTTATCTACGTTTATCAATCAATGACTAAGCGTACAATGAATCTTGTCCTATTTTTCAAGATAATAATTTTGAATACGAAAGTACAGCGTGTGTATATTTGTGTGTAGTACTCGGGATTGTTGCATATCGTGCTTCGGGCGACCAGAAAGAAATCACAACGTTGGCGCGTGATATGGAAATAAGTAGCAGAGGAATGTATACAAATTCTAAGGTCACATGTGTGTCACGTACGGCATTATATACATATTATTAGTGACCAATAGACGCACATGGTATACGTTGAAACAGAAACTGCTTTCTCCGTTTTCTTTCACGTCTGAGAAGCATCGTGAACGTTAAAAAAAAAAAAAAAAGAAAAAAGAACACACCCTGCACGTAAAACCAACAGACTATAATGCGGATCGTGTGACGACAGCGAGGTTTCGTTTTTTTTTTTTCCCACGAGAAGCTAATTAAGACTCCGGGATGCAGCCATATCAAATTTATAACGTCAGAAGAAGAAGAGACTTTGTATAAATTTTTCTCCCGCAATTTGCACGTAAAGTTAATCCACGCGGCCATCCAGTTAAAACACAAAGCCCTTATGACGATTGATATCAATTAATCATTAATTCAAATATGGGTGCAATAAAATTCAGGAATTTTGAATCAATGATTTATTCTCGGTTCGAGATTCGTTTTTTATTTTTTTTTATTTTTTTTTTTGCAATACTTGATAAAGTTGATAAAGTTAGCGAAAATTCCGTTCACACTGCAACGTGCAATATATTTGGAGGTTAACGCAATGTCGCGATAATCGATTTTTCTCGTCGACGAACGCAATGTCGCGATAATCGTTTGTCACGATCGAACGATATATGTATTCGATAATAATCGTGTGATGCTGATTTATTTAGCAGCGCATCCTTCTGCCGAATAATCACGAGAGAGGAAGAGAGAGAGAGACCGTTGACAAGTCGCGTTTTGAGTTTTCGCGAGAAGTCAGCGTCGCGCTCCTCGTGATCACATCGAGTTTTCGAGACTTTGCGTTTCGCATTTGCTCTCTCCGTAATTCATCGTGAGCCCCGTGTCGATACGAATTCGAGAAGCGAGACTCGGCGCTGTCTCACGTCTACGCAAAGTGACGCTCTCTCACTACTAACGAAATTAATACCGTCGTCGCGATGGAAGAGGAGGAGGCACGCACCATCGTGGGAGTCTGCGAGGGATCGCTCGAGATGGACGCATCGCCGATGTCGAATATCGTCAGCGGTCTGTCCAAGTCGACACTGGACTCCGGCGGCGGTGCGAAGACGCACCTTCAGCGCTCGCGAGGTACGTATGCATGTTTGAATGTATCAGCAGCTTGGGATGTCAAAGACTTGTCTAATAGATTCGCGAAGCACATTTAAGAACAAAATTACAAGAGTTTAGATACAATAGTTGTTGTCGGATTTGGCGGACTATATTTTTAACACAATTATGTCAATTCGTCTTGTAAGTAAACAATTTGGACTGAGATAATGACAAATCTTTCGCATCAACGTGTGTATTGTTACTGCAAAAATGACAAAAAAAAATAAAACTGTTAAACAATAACAGAATAGAACTAAATAAAATAAAAACAAGGAGAAAAAAATGTGCGCACGATTGAAATATATCAAAATAATTCTGTCGCGCGCGAGGCAAAGGACGCGGCGTCGGGTTAATTAAGCACAAAATGAATATTAATAGAACCGAACTCGGGTGCCTTGCTGTAGCGCGGTAAAAAAAAAAAAAAAAAAATTAGGCGGGTTGTCCGCAAGGGATTTCCCATCTTTCAACGATTTGTCTACCGTCGGTCTGAACCTTTCAAACGCTTTTTCAGATCCCAGTGTTTCTCATTCGCGCGATTCGGTCGTTGGATCTTCCGTGTGATATTTTTCGACGCTATTTTAAATGTTAATTTTGGCAAACATTTTTGTGGCATCTCTATCGTTATTTTTATATTTCTGTTCACATTTCTAAACATTTTGTTAATTTGATTTAACCATCTCGTTAATTATCGATATTTTGTCGCGCTTTCCGCGGAATTAATACAATATTTCATTTTGTGATAATTATTAATTTTTTAACAGGAATCAAATAAGGCCGATACGAGCCATTCGCAGGATGTTTGTGCGGAAACTATGCGTGTACAAATATATATATATATAAATGTAACGAATTTTACTTGTAAATTTTTACAAGTATTTTTTGAATTGAAATCTCAATTCTTAAAATCATACGGGATGCTAGATTTGCATCTCACATATGGAAAACCCCGGATGTCTTATTAATTTTTTATCAACACTCACACGGTAACTTTTAATAACGAAATGTAATTGAGCACCTTTTCGCAATCGTGAGGCAAGTAGCTCGCGTCAGGAGACCAGGTGCTCACCTGCTCCTGTTGGGTGGCTGGTTAAGCTAGGCGCCCCCTTTTATTCATGCTTTCGGTAAAGCATGAAGGTTCGCAACGCGAACGAACGGCTGTCTCGATCTCCATCCGGACGGGGGTACGGGAGCAGCGCGTGAGAGAGCGGGAACCGCTTTTCGGGGGAAGGTTACGGTATTTCGACGTTATTGGGTCATCAATATGATAGGATTCGCTTCGAGAGTATATTGATGTGTGCACGCGGAAATATAATTCTTTTCACTTTTGTTCGAATTTGTTCGATCTTCAATCAAAAATATATGTTACAAAATATTTTTTTATCTGATATTTTGACGTAGAAAAAAATCAAAGTAATTTGCGAGAAATCCTTTTGAAGAGATCCTTCTTGAAAAATATCAACGTGATTAATTAAATTGTTTTGATTAATTGCAACGCAATAATTTTTCGTTAATCACAATGGAAACGCGCATATTGTCGATTGTTTACGAAGATTTTCGCGACTACAACATATTCGTTCTATCGAGTTTGAGTACATGCACAAGTACACCGTGCATGCAACGAGTACTGACCTACCCTCGTTAGATGTCAACATACTAAGAGAGACCGTTAAGAATACAGCTGTCTTGCGCAAAAGACTAGGGTCGTATTTCCGTCTCTCTTCAGCGACGCGCTTTAGGGGTTACTGACCGATGCTGTGTCTTATTCCGCTTAATATGATAATCGCATTCGGCGTTGTCTCGGAGAGAGTGAGAGAAAAATGAACACGCGCATAATATAGAAATATACATAACTTTGTAAAAAAATTTATCTACCGTATTTGTACACCTATTTCATTTAATTGCAAAAACCGAAAAGTTTCGTAAATCGTCGTATTCGATTAATCGTCGCGTTGCAAAATCGAATCTCCTCACTTTTTTTGAAACATATGCTCGTGCTATACTTTTCCTTCTTATTTGCACGGGGGAAACTGTATTCCGAGCCTAATCCCCGGATGAGACAATCGATACGGCATTTACATTTCAAACAGAAACGCCCAGTGGTCGAGCAAAGAGCTCACATTATTACTCCGTTACGGTAGGATTGAGACGCAACCGGAAAACGTGGTGTTTCGCGGCAACGACGACGACGACGACGACGATCTTTTCACAGTCTTCGATCGGGAGACGTTATCGTTGCTTTGCCCGTTGCAAATGTCGTCGTGCGCACGGAGGTGTTGTGCACCGCCACATGGCACGTTCCGTTCTCGTCCGTTACCTTGAAAGTCCGTTGTACAGAGGGGTACGCGCACACGATGGGGCGAACGGGGCACCCCTATATGAGCGCTCTAGTATTGAACGCGCGCGCGCGCGCTATATATCCCAGACGTGTTGTTGCGCGCGATAGCTAGATACTACGAAGGAAAGATACCGTCAAACACCATACGCCAGAGCGTGCCGCGCGCGTGCAAATTAGGTAATTAGATATGTCTTCGGCGATGAGAACGTTACTTGTGAGAGAGAGCTCTCGCGCGTTTTTTAACGCGCGTGAATTTATTACGAAGCTGACTCTGTTGCCGAGTCCAACATTTAATGAGAATAATGATGTCATGTTGGGGGAGACGCCAAGACTTTAATTGCATCATGCATTGCTCCCGAGACACATGGCTCGTAAAAAATTATACGATTAAGAAAATAAAAGTAACAGGCAATTACGAGCTTAAGCGCGCAGAATGTAAAAACAATATTTTAACTGTTTAATAAATATCTTAAATATTTGCAAAATAAATTTTTTTTACACAATATTCCGAAAGTTTTCTAAAAATTGTGATATTTTTCTAAAGCTCGTTTCTTGCAAATGTTTCGAGTTCCGATTGTTCGAAACACAAAGTTGTTCTCTTCGTCTCACTGACAGGCGGCAAAAAGTCGATCCGGATTCTCACATTTCACGAAAAGCGTTTAACGCGGGAGACAGGATAAAAAAAAAATACCCCGACAACCGTCGCAGACGAGTGAATTAAACAGCAAGTGATGCTTCTTTGACCAATGGCTTTTCTATCAAGATTTAATATTTAAATGCCCCGAAGGTCTTTATATATATCAGAGATAGGGGAGAGGGGGAGAACCGCGAGCATAGGAAAGAGAAAGGAGAAGAATAAAAGAGGTTTGGGTTCTTCGGGGTCCTGGGGTCATTAACATATCCTGTAAGGCCGGTAAGGCAGGTCTCGCAGTATTTCGGCGAAAGTTGCACCTTCGCAACCTTTAACGGTCGCGGGACCGAAATTACCAAGTGGAGTTCTCGCGGATTTGACTCGAACGCGCCCACAAAACGAAGAAGAAACGCGTTTGACGCAAAAATAATAAACTAAAAGACATGGCTGAAAGAACGAATGCGAATTTCGAAACCCTTCTAAGCAAGATATATCGCTGTTGAATCGCCAGTAATGAGCCCCGTTGGCACATCAACCCCTTTGTGTCTCGTATACGCGACGTACTTCAATATTTTATCCAGTCGACTCACAAAAAGAACCTAATTACGAGTCGGGTAGACGATGGAACATCCGCTCGATAATGGCTGAATACGTTTCTCCCGGGATGGTTGCCATCTGAGCATTCCAGTTTTCCCTCATCGTACCCGAAGACGTAGAAGAAGAAGAAGAAGAAGAACCTTGGCAGATCCGTTGGATGAAAAATTCGTTGAGCGCGTGCCGGCTGCACGACTCGACTTACCCCTCGTCTTGCTACCCTCGCGCGATCTACCCTCGCGCTAATGTCGAAAAACGGAAGAAGCAAGGGAGATAGAAAGAAAGAAGGGCGAGCGCACTGAGAGAGCGCCCGGTTATCGAACAGGCCGACCGACCGACCGACCGACCGACCGATCCACCAACCAAGCAACCCCCCCGTTAGGACAGTTTTGTCGCTTGTTTCCTTACTTCGTGTCTCCAGGGTTCCGATGTCTGGTCTCGATGTCTGGGGCCTTGTCCCGCGCGCGCTTCAACTTTTATATTCCCACCGACGACGACGACGACGACGACGTCTGCTCTCATCTGTTATTCAACGACCGTGTTCCGCATATTTGGCTTTCCTGTTTTTCGTGTCTCGCACACTTCGAAGAACAGAAAACCCGATTAACACTTCGGTTCCCGACCATTCGCCGTGATTGCCACGACATTTCCGGTGGAAAAGCCGCCACCTTACGCGCGCGTTTCCGCGCTATCGAGCGCTATAATAAACGCGCGAATTTCGCGTCCCGTGTGTGTCTTCCAGCATGGGAATTCGATCTATACCGGTTTCGATGTCTGGTTTAAATAGCATGAGAGAATCCGCGCACGCATACAGTTGAATATAATTAACTCGTCCCTGCTTTTTTTTCTTATTAAAGAAGACACTCATTTGCTTAACAATATTGAATAACAACACTCGCGCGTTTCGAGGTAAAAAACAAATACTATTTTTATTCGCATATGCTCGGCTCGTGAAATTTCTTCGGGTTGCTAAGTTTTTACTTATGCTCTCGCGTTTTTGTCAATTTTCCGAACTTCAACGGCCAGGCCATCTCTCGCTTATCTCACTTATCTCATCGCAAAAAAAACCAAGAGAGAGAGAGAGAGAGAGTTCGCGTCCAAAAGGGTTGGTCAACCCTTCGAAACCCTTTCGAACGCGGCGGGGTACAACGATGGGATACAACGGGGATGATTCACGTCCGCACATTAGCCATCCAGGCAAAACTAGAAAAGCTTCGTCTACTAACGAGTCATTTTTATGCGGCATTTTTTTTTCTATGAACAACACAGCCGCGACATGTCGGTTCAGCCTTCGGACAAAGAGAAAAGGCACGGGGATAATGCGATCACATTAACAGCGCATAGATATAGATATGCGCGTGCGCGGATGAATTTGACTGTATTAATAGCGACAGAAAGGGGACCGAATGGCCGACGATG